TACTGAGTGTTTGACAGCTGCCAACGCGTTAAAATCCATCTTGAGGAAGTCTCCAATGAATAACGAGGATCAGTGGACGAAAAGAAGAATAATACAATAGACGACTTCCGCTTCTACAACTGGCTGAGAAACTCTGACGAGTAAGTGGTGCCCTGCTGCCACAGTTTTTATCCTATTAGAAGGATGACAAGAGTGTCTAGTGTCAACACGACAATAACGAAAGACGAAAGAAACAACACCGAATCTCGACGTAAGACGAAACAACTCGTCTTACGACTTCACTTGACAACGACAACTGTTGTGGAGCCGTGTTGTGAAAAAAATTGATGGCGTAAAGTGCCATCTGGACTGCGTTATAAAGGAAGGAGGAAGGAAGTAAATAATGGAAGCGGTACCGATCAAAAAATTTACGGTATAACAGTAACAGCAAATTAATATTTTGTCTGCTTCCAAAATTACAGATATATCATGGAATTTCTTAGAAAGAACGCAACAACGATCGTTTTTTGGTTCTTTTGATTTTCAGGCTAAAGTTTCAGCAATATAACTTCTTAGTACACAATTTTTTGCCTCTTCTTATCGCCTGCGCCGGCAGCGCGGAGGTCACGTAAATTTGCATAAATGAAACGCAACCGGTGGACTGTAAAATAAAAAATACTCACCTACACAACCACTAAGTTGAAACCACTAAGTATTTGAGGTCAGATTTTGGACGTCCGGATTCACAGTATATCGAAGAGCACAATTCCCCACAGGCACGGTAATCACCACAGGGCAACAATGGAAATGAAGGCGTCCGTGCGCTCGGCTGATACAACGGTCGCTGATCACGTGACCGCGCTGAAGGCGCCGAAGCCCTTCGGCGGCCGAGAACAGGCGCCGGCAGCTGCCGTTTACACGTAAGGGACAGTTGACCTCCGGACAGTGACTGAACGAATTACCAGTACTGGTCAGCGATGGCCGCCGCTTGATCGATGGTCGCAATTGCACGGTCTTTATCTAAAATCCACCCCGTGGTCGCGACCGTCACGTGACTACAAGTCCGGTCGCTGAACGCTTGGCGATGACAACGGCAACGACTTGAGGGAAGCTGGGAGGACGTGGAGGGAGCATTTGCAAACCACCAGCAAATGTGTTTGTTCTTCTTACCTAAGGATCTTCTGTTTAATACTAAAGTTCTTTTGCTCATCAGTAATTTTAATTAAAGTTAATTATGCAAATGATCGATATTCTTCCTTTTCACGAAAGCTCGTTCCTCTGTGTGCTCAGAACACTCTCTAAATTACCATAATCAAAAAAAGGAACCTGTTCAAGCATCGATGTACCATAAAAAAGTACATTATTTTATGAAACGTCGTTCACGAGGTGACTGAGGGGGCGAAGTGACGCGAGACACATCTGACATTGCAGATGGTCAAAAGCTGTTTAACTTTGAGCCATTTCCCAAGAGCAACTGAGCGGCGTGATACGCCGTGAAATCTGGTCTTGAATGGGGGGTATGTGCCATGTAGAGTTAGTCGCGTCCGGTTCTGAAACGTTCCGCTTTGAAACCGAATTTTTTTAACTTGTTTCCCTTCTGTGACATTTATACTGACACAGAGCTTTCCCTCATGGAGACAGGAGTAGCACAGTCTAAAGAGGTTGACTTCGAACTCTGAAAATGCCGGGAAAAATGTTTTTTGCATTTTCTTAACGGCTAATTATATTTAAGAATAAATTGACCCTGCTAGTTTTGGTACTAGCACTCGAGAAACGGGTTATAATGTTTTGGTGGGGTCACAAAAACTGACGAGCGATATTACCAAATTATTTTAAGCAAACATTTCTTAGGGCTGCGATTCGTCTTGACAAACCTTATAGCTCACTGTAAAGCGTGATACTCATTACAAGTATTAATTATAATTAAAAATTATAAATTCAGTTAAAACGAGGAATGCATAAAACTTCAACGGTCGTAGACACAAGGAGACAGACAGAACGTATTCTTTATCATAATTGCCTATATTTCCACTACATTAGCCATGCTCAGGTCAAACAGTGAGTCAAGAGAAACTCATTATCTTCCCTGTGGATGGCAGTGTGATTGGGCTGAAACGTTGGCAATTATGATG